TCGACTGCATGGGATACCAGTGGCGATCATCAGCGACCACGACACGAAATTTACCAGCAACTTCTGGCGGAACCTGTGGCAGCAGTTCGGCACGCAACTACAGTTTAGTTCATCGTACCACCCCGAAACCGACAGACAGACAGAACGGACAAATTAGACCATGGAACAGCTCATCCAAGCCATGTGTGACGACCTAACCACGTGGGAACAACAACTGCCACTCATCGAGTTCGCGTACAACAACTCGCCATCCGCCATGACCCAACAGTCACCATTTTACCTGAATTACGGACAAGACCCTACAGTACCCATGACCCCGAATCCTGACAACCCGGTACCACGTGCGCAACAGTTCGCATAAATATTACAGGCAGCACAGACTCCAGCAGCAGAAGCGATAAATGAATCAAACGTCATCGCTAAGCGCAACTCCGACCGCCACCGCCGCCCCGTCACTTACCAACCCGACGACCTGGTATTACTCGACACTCAAAACCTCCGCCTACCCATCACTCCAAAACTTTGTCCCTGATATTGCGGGCCATTTCGCATCAGCCATATGATCACCCCCGTCACCGCCCACCTCCTCCTCCCTGCTGACTGGTAAGTCAGCCCGTTGTTCCACGACAGCCTGCTTCGCCCATATATCCCATCCACCAGCCAACTGCCTCGCAACCGCCCCGCCAGCATGACACGACCGCCGACAGAGCCAATCATCACGCCCGAAAAATACTGAGCCATCGAGTACGTGACCCACGGGGAGCCCACGGGATCGAATTTCTGATCCGCTGGAAAGACCGCACGCCCACCGAAGACAACTGGTTCCTCTGGATAGAATTGAGAACCACCCTGTCCTCCCAGGGTATCTGTGCAGCCAAAACTTTCGAGTACACGCGCTCTCGTAAGGAGGGCCTCCTTGGGGAGGGGGGTAGTGTAAAGAAAAATCCTTTTCCTTACTTCGCGCCCCTGCTTACCGCGTACAAGACCATTCCCGCCATCGGCACCCAACAGTGAAACTTTACCCGCTCGTGACACTCGTCTCGACTACAACTCCCGCCACTGTTCACGATGCGACCCAACCTCACGGTTAGGTTGGTAACCCGCGGTCCGGACCAGGGCATGTGCTAGGATTTGAGGCATCCTGAGGTCCCAGGGAAACTCGTCAAAATCTTAAAAACTGCCCTGATTTGTTAGGGCATTTTTTCGAAGGCATCCTGTAGTTTCAGGGCTTCAGCAGAAATTAATCCTGACTGGTGAGGGCGAATAAACAGATGTTCAGGGTAGCACTTTTAGCAAGGCCTGGAACAGAGAGTTGGAGGCTCAACATCAGAGAGACGCGCACCTACCTGTGAATGCCTCGCTCAGGACGATAGTGTTGCCTTGCCCAACCTGCTCCCAAACCAGACCAGCGAGGAACCTGAAGGGTTTGGTTGGTGCGTTACGGACGTTCAGCTGTGTCAAGGCATCGTGCAAAGGCGGGAAAAATACACGGGGAAGAAAATCCGTAGGGGAGAATTTTCCCGGGGAAAGAATCCCAAGGAAGGGAACCCCCTCCTTCCTTCCCCCGCCTCCCCCCCCCCCCCCCCCCCCCCCCCACCCCTTAAAAATGCGCCAGGGCAAGCCTCGACATTCAACCTGACGCTACAGGGAAAAACACTACAGCCATCCTGAATTTCCAGGGCATATCGTGTACAACATCCTGAGATTACAGGGTAAAAAATATCACCATTCTGAAATTACAGGGCAAATTCATAACTGCATCTTGAAATCAGGGTAATCAGGATGTTTTGCCCTGATATCGTGGGGCCTGCTCCGGACCTCCGCCTCGATATTTCCCAACCTCGGCGCTAGGCCCGTAGCGCACCCCATTTTCTCGCGTTACCGTTACCACTATAGTTTCGCTATATATTCTTCGCTCATGCCTTCGCTCATAGTATTGTTTTGTTTCAATAGTGCAATTCTAGCTCGCTAGCTCAATTGCACTCTTAACACCTATCGTCACTTGTTTTGAGGTACAGTGAATATGTAATATGTGTTATGAGTGCAATTGAGTGAACGAGTGAGGATTGCACTATCGAGGCAACAATACAATGAGCGAAGGAATGAGCGAAGAATATATAGCGAAACTACGGTGGTAACGGTAACGTGGGAAAATGGGGTGCGCGACGGGCCTGGTGCCGAGGTTTGGGAAACTGTCGAGGCGGAGGTCCGGAGCGCGGGTTACCAACCGAACCGTGAGGTTGGGTCGCGTCGTGAACAGTGGCGGGAACGATGTCGAGGCGAATGTCGCGAGTGGTAACGGAATATTGTGGAGTGCTGTCAGCTGTACGCGCTTAGCATAGACGCGAAGTAAGGAAAAGGAATTTTCCTTACACTACCCCCACCCTCAAGGAGGCCTCCCTTACGAGAGTGTGTGTATATCCCGGAAATTTCTGCTGCGCAAGTACGCGTTGAGGACGGGGTGGTTTTCGATTTTGTCCAGTGGAACCCAATTGTCCTCGGTGGGCCTGCGGTCCCGCCAGCGTATGAGAAATTCGACCCTTCGGGCTCCTCGTGGGTCACGAACTCGGTGGCTCAGAATCTTTTCGGGCGTGATGACTGGCTCGGTCGGTGGTCGGGTCATGCTGGCTGGGCGATGTCGGGCCAGTTGGCTGGTGGATGGGATGTAGGGGCGAAGCAGGCTGACGTGGAAGGACGGGCTGACGTACCAGTCAGCAGGGAGGAGGAGGTGGGCGGTGACCGGTGTGATCATGTGGCTGATGCGAAATGGCCCGCAATATCGGGGGCGGAGTTTCGGGGTTATGGGTAGGCGGAGGTTTTGGGTGTCGAGTAAAATTAAGTCGTCGGGTTGGTAAGTGACGGGTCTGCGGTGGCGGTCGGCGTTGCGCTTAGCGATAACATTCGCTTTTTTAATTGCGTCTGCTTCCCTGGTCTGTGCTTCCTGTAGGATTTCTGCGAAATGTTGTGCGCGCGGCACCGGGTTGTCGTGATTCGGGGTCATGGGTACTGTAGGGTCTTGTCCGTAGTTCAGGTAAAACGGTGACTGTTGGGTTGTGGCGGATGGCGAGTTGTTGTACGCGAATTCGATTAGTGGCAGTTGCTTTTCCCAGGTGGTGGGGTCGTCGCACGTGGCTCGGACTAATTGTTCCATGGTCTGATTTGTCCGTTCTGTCTGTCCGTCGGTTTCGGGGTGGTACGAAGAACTGAATTGCAGCCTCGTGCCGAACTGCTGCCACAGGTTCCGCCAGAAATTGTTGGTAAACTTTGTATCGCGGTCGCTGATGATTGCTGCTGGTATAACGTGTAATCGAACAATGGTTGCGATGAAGAGGCGGGCCGTTTCTTCGGCTGTGATTGATTTTTTGCAGGCTGCGAAGTGTGCCATTTTCGTCAACCGATCGACGTCGACCAGGATCGCGTCGTTCCCACTTGCACCTGCCGGTAACCCCGTGACGAAGTCCATCGTCACCTGCTGCCAAGCACGCTCTGGGGGTGGTATGTGAGAATCATGAGAGGAAAATGAATGAACTAGGAAGCAGGTGGGTACAAGTAGGAAACAGAAAAGTGTTGTACCCTCTAAGAACTACCCCACTATAGCCTAAACAGACTATAGCAGATAGAAGTTTGACACACCCCATAGGCAAAGTGGGGGAGAACAAGAGGTCAGAAGACCAGTCAAGAAAGGCAAAGCAAGCTCAGGGTGGATCACAAAGTCACCACGCAGTCTGAGCACAAGCAAATGGCCACAAGGCCAGTTCACATGCAGAGTTATATAAAGGAGAACAAACAATACAGTGAACAAAACTTAGCAAGTGTAAGCATGCAGGTATATGTATAAAGAGTACAGTACAGGCAGAGTCAAGAAGAAAGCAAGTGAGGCACAGTAGGTACAAGGCCTAACACAGTACAGAAACGCTGATGATCACAAGGCTGAAGTGCCTTGGTGAAAACATCAGCAGTGTTGGCCTGAGAGGCCACGTAAGTAAGACGAAGCTGGCCACGCTGCTGCAACTCTCGAGCAAGGAAGTAGCGCAGAGCAATGTGCTTCGTTCTGTGCTCCAGTCTGTGCTCCTGACACAAGGCCAGCATGGCCTTGTTGTCGACGTACAGAACTGGAGGAGAACGAGGCGCCTCTCCCAAGTCGGTCAGCAGGTAGGTGAGCCAGCGTAGCTCCTGTGCAGCCATGGCCCTAGCGTAGATCTCAGCCTCACAACTGGAGCTGAGAACAGAAGAAGAGCGGGTAGACTGCCAAGAGACGGAACCGGAGCCAAGACTGAAGGTGTAACCCTGTGACGACCGCTGCGTAGCCAAGTCGTCAAACCAGGAGGGGTCAGCGTGACCAGTGAGAACAACTCGAGCCCGTCCTCCAAGCACGAGCCCCATGCCCGATGTACTGCACAAGTATCGCAACACCCTCTTCGCAGCATCCCAGTGCACCTTTCGGTGCCTGCCGGGAGCCACGTAGCGAGCCAGAAGGCTGAGAGGGTATGCGAGGTCAGGTCGTGTGCACGTCATTAGGTATATGAGGCAGCCCACAAGCTCTGGATACGGGCCACTCAGCTCTACGGACTCGTCCAAAGGTGGAGCTGAGAGCGAGTGGCCTGTAGGCAGAGGAGTGACTGTGGCGAGGAGTACGTCAAGCCGAAGCGCTGAAGGACCTGCTGCACCATGTGTGACTGAGTCAAGGTAATGGTGCGCTGTGCTCTGTCCCGGGTGATCCGCAAGCCAAGATAGCTTGTCAGCTCACCCAGGTCTGTGCACGTGTGTCTCTTCTGCAGCTCGGACTTCACGTGGGCGAGTGCCTCAGTGTCAGCAGTAGCAAAGACAAGGTCGTCTACGTGCACGAGAACGTAGAACGGCGGCAGAGTAGTGTCAGTGCGTAAAAACAGAGAAGGGTCAGAAGTGGAAGGAGCAAAACCAAGAGCAGCAAGGGTCGTCCTAAGTGTGTCGTGCCACTCACGGGGTGCCTGGCGGAGACCGTAGACTGGCCGCCGGAAGCTTCACTGGGTACCAGCAGGAAACGACCCTGTGAAACCAGGTGGGCGGCGCAGCCAGATCTCCTCGTGCAGGCTGCCCTGGAGGAAGGTTGTGCTGAAGTCAAGCGAGTGGAGCTCGTAGTCACGCTGAGCAGCTACGTGCAGCAGTACCCGAAGAGTGGTCATCTTCGGGGTAGGGGAGAAGGTCTGAAAGAAGTCAACTCCCTGTCGCTGACTGAAACCACGTGCAACGTAGCGCGCCTTGAAGGCAGGCGGAGAACCCGGCGGCCGCTTCACCCTGAAGATCCACATGCCACTGACGATGTTCACCCTAGGTGGGGGAACCTCGTCTACGTAGGTGCCAGTGGACTTCCAGGAAGCCATCTCGGCGTCCATGGCTGCCTGCCACTGAGAGGAGTAGGGACCCTCTATCGCCTCTGCGTAAGAGCGCGGGGTCGGGATGTCTGGTGCATCCGGGTCTCCCTCAAGGGCAATCAGCATGGACACGAGATGAGGTACAGAAGCAGCAAAGCACTCAAACTCCTCCTGTCTGTCCTCAAGAACGTCCGTGCCAAGAGCACACTCACCCCCGACGGACGGAGGACAGACAGACGCAGATTCAGTAACAAGACTGGCGGCGTAGTCTAGACGACAATGGGCAGCAAAGTCGACAAGCTCAGCAACTAAGGCAGACGCAGCAGTGGACTCAAACAAAGGGTCAGTGATAGCAGTGGCCAGAAAGCGTGTGACAGCTGGACTAGCAGCACGAAGGGAGTCAGACGCAGGGTCCGGACCAGCAGGAAGAGAGGACGCAGGAGGAGACGGCAAAGGGACACGCTGCGGAGCAGTGGAAGGACGCAGAGTCATAGAGTGAGTGCCAGGGACAGGAGGAGGACGCGGACGCGAAACACGACCAGTGCGAACAGGACGGACAGGCGACGCAGAACGAGACTCAGGCGACACAGGACGAGACTCAGGCTCACGACGCTCCGTAAGACCTCTAATCGGTCCAGAGTAAGGAGAGGGACCAGGCAGAGGAGAGGCCGGCGGGAACTGCGACTGGGACTGGACAGGCGGTGGACTCAGGAAAGGAGGAGGAGGAGGACCAGGAGAAGGCGGAGAGCCAAGAACCTGCTGAAGAAGCAGAACGTAGTACGGCCGCGGCCGCGCAGCGCCTCCAGAAACAGCAGAGACAGAACCCTCAGCCCCAGGGTCTCTAGTCCCAGTAGCACCTCCAGCAGCTCCAGCACCAGCAGCACCTCGAGTAGCTCCAGCACCAGTAGCACCTCCAGCAGCTCCAGCACCAGCAGCACCACCAGCAGCTCCAGCACCACCAGCAGCTCCAGCACCAGCAGCACCTCCAGTAGCTCCAGCACCAGTAGCACCTCCAGCAGCTCCAGCACCAGCAGCACCACCAGCAGCTCCAGCACCACCAGCAGCTCCAGCACCAGCAGCACCTCCAGTAGCTCCAGCACCAGCAGCACCTCCAGCATCTCCAGCACCAGCAGCACCTACAGCAGCTCCAGCACCAGCAGCACCTCCAGCAGCTCCAGCACCAGCAGCACCTCCAGCAACACCAGCAGCAACAGCACCCCGACAGCGCTGAGAGTACCACTCACGAAGCTGCTGAGGGGAGAGAGGCTCCCGTCGCAACGGGACACCTAGAGCACCTCCAGACGCAGCACGTGCAGGCGCAACACTCCCAGGCTCAGCACCCCCAGGCTCAGCACTCCCAAACTCAGCACCCCCAGGCTCAGCACTCCCACACTCAGCACCCCCAGGCTCCACACGCTCAGGCTCAGCACCCCCAGGCTCCACACGCTCAGGCTCAGCACCCCCAGGCCCCGCACCCACAGGCTCAGCACCCCTAGTAGTACCTGAGTCGACAGCTACCTCGACCGGCTCGGCAGGGTCTACCTGGGACACACCTGAGGGGGCAGGACCCTGGGGGGGGAGGGGGTCTACCGGGGGAGTACCTGGTGCGAGGAAGAGCGGCGGGGGGGGGGGGGGAGAGGCAGTGCGGTAGGGGAAGAGACGGTAGTACGACACCGACTCATCAAACGTGACGTCCTGAGAGGACAGAACACGACGTGAGGTGGGGTGGTAGAACTGCCACCCGGGTGCGTCAGGAGGGAAGCCAAGGAAGACACTGGGAACGGCACGGGAGGACAGCTTGTCCGCTGTAGTATCGCGGACAAAAGCTCGAGATCCCCAGACACGGAACGCGGACGCATCGCCAACCTTCCCCGTCCACCGCAGAGTAGGTGTGGTCTCCGGCAAGGAGACACGAGGCTGAAGGTTGATCTGATGCGCAGCGTACTGAACCGCGAACGGCCACAGAAAATGGGGAGCAGCCGCATGGATCATGGACGTACGAGCGACGTCCATGACCATGCCAATGCGGCGCTCAACAATCCCATTTTGCTGCGGGGAGGCCGGAAGCGTGAACGTCTGGCGGATGCCCTCCGAACGACAGAAGGCCCTTAGGAGGTCGGAGGAAAACTCCCCACCTCTGTCTGAGTGCAGACGCAGAACAGGAAGGGCCGAGCCGAAACTCTCACTGAGCTGGCGACGAGCTCCGCGGATCCAGTCGATCAACACCTCAGGGACCTCACCCTTGCTGCGCAAGGGGAAGACTGTGGTGTAACGCGAGTAGTCGTCAACGACCAGCAGGAAGTAACGCTCGTGACCCTGTCCACGGACGCGGGCTGGGCCCCACACGTCCATGTGAAGAGTCTGCAGAGGAGCCTCAGTCGGAGGGAACGAGGAGGAGTGAGGAGCGGCGCGCTGCCGGCCCTCGACACAAGGAACACAGGTGGGGGTAGGCCCCGGAGGAAGGGGAGGGAGGGACCTGGGGAGACCAGAGACAAGGGCACGGGAGGCCATACCTTGAAGACGAGGCAGGGAGGGGTGACCAAGGCGGTGGTGCCAAAGGAGAGTCTCGTGCGACAGAGGACGACACGAGCAAGGAGCAGACACAGGACTAGACCTGGACGCGGCAACAAACACCTGAATAGACGCAGCTACCTGACTAGACGCAGGGACCGGAGGAGGCGCAGTAGTCAGTGTGTACAGACTCGACCCTGGCCGACGGGTGAACGTGGCCAGGTGGCGGCCCGTCCGAGAGCAAGTGCAGTGGGTCACACGCTGACCTCCAGGGGTGAACTGGTCAACCCACGCGTCCTGGAGTTCAGCTCCACTCACCAAGTTCGTAGAGAACGAGGGGAGGTGGAGTCCCGACAGCAAGCCTGACGGGGCCGCAGGACACGGTAAAACTGTAGAGGAGTGTGCAAGGACTGGGCCCCCTGAGGGGGCAGCAAGGGAGACCGCAACATGCCGTAAAAGGGGCCGAGAAGGGGCCGCGACGGGCCGTCAGAGGGGCCGTGAAGGGCCGCGAGGGGCCGCGACGGGTCGCTAAAGGGGCCGCGAAGGGCCGTGACGGGGCCACGACGGGCCGTCAGAGGGGTCGCGAAGGGCCGCGAGGGGCCGCGACGGGTCGCTAACGGGGCCGCGAAGGGCCGTGACGGGGCCGCGACGGAGCCGCGACGGGCCGTCAGAGGGGCCGCGACGGGTCGCTAAAGGGGTCGTGAAGGGCCGCGAAGGGGCAGCGACGGGCCACTAAGGGCCTCGAAGGGCAGGCGCGAGGGCGCAGCTAGGACAAACGCGACGCGCGCCTCGGGCAGGTAAAGAAAAATAAAATATTTGTAGTGGTGGGCCCTAAAAAAAACTCGAACCAGCTCTATACCATGTGAGAATCATGAGAGGAAAATGAATGAACTAGGAAGCAGGTGGGTACAAGTAGGAAACACAAAAGTGTTGTACCCTCTATGAACTACCCCTCTACAGCCTAAACAGACTATAGCAGATAGAAGTTTGACATGGTATCGGCTGCAATTGCCCTGCCGGCCGCTTCCTTGATGATTTCATGACCTGGCAGGTGGGACACGAGGCCACGTGTCGTTGCACGTCGGTCAACATTTCGGGCCAGTAGGAGTACCGCTGCAGCTGCTGTCGTGTTTTCTCTACTCCGAAATGTCCTGAGGTAACTACGTCGTGTGCCTCCTGCAGCAGTAATTCCCGCAGAAGTGTGTAACCCGGTACCCAGATGCGATCAGTGCCAACTTTTACGTAATAGACTCCCCTTGCGGCTGCAAACTGCTGCGAATTTCCGCCTGTAAAAAATGGGTCAGTCTGGTAACCATGAGTAAATAGGCCTGTTAATAGTGGGCTGGTCTGGGCGAGTAGTATGGCGTGAACTTGGGCGGTGGGCCGGGTTAATGCATCGGCGATGTTCGATGCCCCCTTTTTGTAGGTGACCGTGTAGTGAAAATTTTGACTCGAGGTAATCGAGCCAGCGGATTTGTCGTGGGTTGAGGTGGGGTTGCGCGCGGAGATACTGTAACGATTTGTGATCTGTCCATACTGTCACGTCAGCGCCGGTCAAGTAACAGCGCCACACTTTGAACGCATGCACGATCGCAAGCATTTCGCGATCGTGTATCGGGTAGTTTTTCTCGGGTGGATGCAACTTTCGTGATTCGTATGCGATGGGCTGTAACCCGTTGCCGAAGTCCTGTAGCAGTATGGCTCCAATGGCAATGTCGCTTGCGTCGGTAATCACTTCGAATGGGCGGTGTGGGTCGGCGATGCGCAGTACGGGCGGCGAACAGAGAACATTTTTCAGGGTAGAGAAGGCAGCATGCTCTTTCTCCCCCCCGTAAAAGCGACCCCCTTCCGCAGTAAATCTGTTAGCGGGGCAGTTAAGCCTGCCATGTCGGGGACGAACCGACGCACGTAATTAACAAACCCTAAAAAACTCTGCAGTTCCATGATGTTCGTCGGGGGGTGCCACGCTTTGACCGTGTCCAATTTTTTTGGGTCGATTTCTACTCCAGCCTCCGAAATAACGTGCCCCAAAAACTCCAGCCTATCCTGAAAAAACTCGCACTTGGAACCCTTGGTCAGTAGTCTGTGCTTGTCTAAAACTATAAATACTGCTTCTAAATCGGCTAAGTGCTGCTGCTTATCCCGACTGTAGACTAGGATGTCGTCGAGGTAGATGATCACACATTTATCTAAGAGCGGCCTAAACGCCTCGTTCATTGTCATCTGGAACGTCGCCGGCGCGTTGGTCAGCCCGAAAGGCATCACCGTGTATTCGAATGACCCATACCTAGTCCTAAAAGCTGTCTTGGCACAGTCCGACGGTTCGACCCTAATCTGGTGGTAACCCCCCCGTAAGTCGATTTTCGAAAAGACCCGCGCTTTTCGCAGTTGATCGATCAGTTCGTCAGTGCGGGGGATGGGGTATCGCGATTTAATGGTAACCCTATTCAATGCCCGTTAGTCGATACACATACGAAACCCGCCGTCCTTCTTCGGTGTGAACAGGATTGATGCGGCGAATGGCGATGAGCTCGGTCGGATGAATTTTTTCTCTAACAGATAGTCTAACTGCTTCCTTAGCTCGTCGAGCTCGGGCTGTGTCAGTCTGAACTGTCGCTGTACGATTGGTTGTGCCCCAGGCTCTAATTCTATTCGGTGATCGTGCGCCCGCTGAGATGGCAGTCCCTCTGGTAAGTCATCGGGGAAGATCCCCGGGAATTGTTTCAACAGGTCCTGTAGTTCCGAGGGTACTGCTTCCAGTAGTTTCTGAAAATCACTCGGTTTGTCCGCTTCTTCCACGATCTCGATATCCACCGCGTATACGTCAGCTCTAGCGGCGACAACCCGTTTCATCGTGATGGCGTTGACGTGGACCGTTGAAGACTCAGGCGACTGCCAGCGAGGTAGTTCCACCCAGTTACCGCTACTTCGCACCGTGCAGCTACCCGTCGTCCAGTCGATTCGCGGGTTGTATCGTCGCAGCCAATCACGTCCTAGTAAAATGTCGTGCCCATCCAATGTCGTTGCGAGCATTTCCTGTGTAAACCCGAAGTTCCCCCCACAACGGACTTTTACTCATTCCACTTTTTCCCGTATGGCTAGTGGCGTTCCGTCAACTAAGCGTGCATCGACCTCTGGTAAGCACCGACTAAGTGCCAGTTGCAGCTTCCTTGCAGTCGCGGTATTAACTAAGCTGTGGCTTGCACCTCTGTCTATAAAAATCTTCATTGCTGCTCCCTGTATTTTCCCGTGAATCAGTACTGGGCAATCCGTCGCTGTACCCTCCTTATTCGTCCGAGCCCGATCGATAGCGTGAATCGGTACTGTGACTCGGTGAGGGTCGGTGAAGTTGGGCGAGCAGGCAGTCTCGTCAGTAGTTGGCCCAACTTCTACTGACTGCTGGCGTTTCCCGGCCTCTGAGACTCTCGCCCCTGCTCTGTTCCACGGCGCCTTAGCTCTTCTGGGCATTCGCTCTTGCGATGGCCCGACCTATTGCAAGCAAAGCATCACCCCTTAATTGGCACGGCAGCTGCATTCGTCGCAACGGCGTGTACGGTGGCGTGCTCGGTCGGTCCCCGAGGACGTTGTCCGTAGTAGGACCCCGGTCTCGGTCGTCGTAGGATATCGATTTTCTCGGCGAGCACGAGGATCTCATTAAAATTCGAGAGCCCGCGTAGCATAATTTCGTGCGATATGTCCGGCTTTAGTCCTCCGACGTAACGGTCCACCCGCTCCGCTTCGTGCATATAGCCGACTTGTTCGCATAGTGCGAGAAAACCGCTAGTGTAATCTTGAACCGACCCGAGCTGCCGCCAAGTGCACAGTTCCTGACGCGCCGAAATCGAAGCCGCGATCGGCTCGAAACGCGCCCGAAGCCCTGCGCACCACGCATCCCACGTGCTGTACTGGGCTATCTCGCAGAATGAACTTCAGGTGACGGCTGGGCCCGTGGGCCCGTCTTCGTGCGACGGTGGCTCGTAGGCGCGTGGCGACGTCACGATGACTTGCCACCAGTCCATGGCAGGGCCCCTCAGCAGCGAAACAGCGTAGTGAATCTTCGCTGCGTCCGACTCGACGTAATTGGCGTAAAAAAACACGTTTATCGTGAAGACCCACGACTGAACCGTCGGACCCCCACGTTGGCTCGGGTCGAAACAGGGCGGACGCTGTGGCTTGAGTGGCATTGGTGCCGTGACGGCATACTCGCCACTTGTCGCCGCAAATTCCACGTGCCGACGGGACTCGCGGGGCTCCCGTGGGCTTGGTGCGGTCCTGTTCCTCTCCATGCCAGGCATCGAGTGAGCGGCGCCCTCACTGGCTGCGCCTGAGCGCTATCCCACGCTGTCATTCTGTGTCGGTGTGCCGGAGGAGATGACAATCGGCTCCTCCGAATGTGTAGGTGCATGTGTTGGTGCTGGTGCGTTCACTGTCGATTGTTGGCGGGCGGAGTCGCGTTCCGCCGTGAGTGTGGCGATTACAAGCGCCGATTCTTCGAGTTGGCTCATGAGGCGATCTGGTTGCTCCTGCGTCAGTGTCGCGACGTTGAGTTCTGCCATGGCGGGGGTGTCGGGCAAGCTCAGCGAGAGCCTCTGTCGTGGCCGTGCGTGCTTACGAGAGAGCACTACGAGCGGCGGTGCTGGAACGCTGAGAGACGTATACCCCCCCCCCCCAAAAATTGATAGTGTGGAAGCGAAGGTGTGGGTGCGGTCCGAGAGAAGATCGTAGGCTCTGAAACCAAGTGTTATGAGTGCAATTGAGTGAACGAGCGAGGATTGCACTATCGAGGCAACAATACAATGAGCGGAGGAATGAGCGAAGAATATATAGCGAAACTACGGTGGTAACGGTAACGTGGGAAAATGGGGTGCGCGACGGGCCTGGTGCCGAGGTTTGGGAAACTGTCGAGGCGGAGGTCCGGAGCTCGGGTTACCAACCGAACCGTGAGGTTGGGTCGCGTCGTGAACAGTGGCGGGAACGATGTCGAGGCGAATGTCGCGAGTGGTAACAGAATATTGTGGGGTGCTGTCAGTGTTGTACGCGCTTAGCATAGACGCGAAGTAAGGAAAAGAATTTTCCTTACAATATGTAATATGCGCCGACCCATCGTAAAAGCAAACGAAACGCGCAGCGTGACCAACAAGTGGGAAGTCGAACAGAGTGGCCCGTGAAGCCAACCTTCAGCCAGATGCCACAGGTTGCGCGCTTAGCTTCGCTTGTGTTTGTGTGGGGCGCAAAGGGATGAAGCGGGGCGGGGCACGGTGATACTCCTCGCAGCTTCGATGGGAGCTGGGCGTTCTGTTTGTTTTGTCAGCTTGCAACGGAAGTCCATCGGACAGCAAGAATCTCGCTCGAGCAGCTCGAGGTGGTGCTGCCCGGAACATTTACTGTACCTCCGTCCAATCGCGTTGGTGTAACTTCCACCTTTTCCCCAACTACTCCACACCCCGACCACCAGGCTGCGTCCTCACCATAAAAGATTCCTAGCCGTCTTGAAACCATCTTCGCCACGCTGAGCCATACGGTATCCCACGAAAGGTTCTAAAACCTTGCACAACCGATTTCACGAAGGTATTAAAAGCTGCCCTAATTCACAAAGCAGCACCACATATTCTTCAAGTTGTACTGACTGGACGCATCCTCTTCCTCGCGCTTACTCCGGCTGTGGGCAGTTTGGTCGGACACCCCACCAGATACAAATCAGGCAGTCCCCTGCCTGCCACAGGAGGTGGTCCCAGCAATGCACTTTGTTTGGTCGATGGCTCCCCGTCTTCCACAGCTGTAAGGTGGTTGTTGCTGACTGCACCTTACGTAGCTTCGCTGCTCATTATGATGGAACACTTTACCGTGATTGCTTTGGATTTAGTCGAGCAGCTGATTTGAGTACTTTTCCCTGATCAACCTCAGTGAATCTGGCTTTTCTTCCTTCCGTCCCGCTTCTAGAAGACGTTTCTCATCGTGCTCGTATCGTGCTCGCTCGAAACAACTGTCGCAGTGAAATTGTCGTCTGACATTTTGTTTTCCCGATGTTAGCGGCGTTAAGTCGCAATCGACCCAGTTTCGACATGGTACCCGGCGATCAGCGTCGCACAGACGACGATGGCGACGACGCTGCGACGCCGCTGTGGCTGCTGGAGGTGTCGCCGGACCACGAGAGCAGTCGCAGCACGCTCAGCGTCGCCCTAGCTGACGTGGACAGATTCCAGCGAGTCAATGACGGCGAGACACCTGTCATTGTGCTCGTCTCCGTCGTTATCGAGCCAGGATTCAAACGTGAGAAATATTTTTTCTCGGGCAAGCTGTAGGCTTTATCACACCCTCACGCCGTACTCACAGTTGCTATGTTGTACGTGACGTCATGCGACCGATGCGGTTCCACCCAATCGATTACAAAGACCTATGGCGCATCGTGTTTTTTAGTTCTCAACTTTCAGAGGACTGGAAACTCCAGCGATTTTTCTTTTCATCGCCTCCTCCAGCTCGGCGCGCTACCCATTCCCTTCGCCAGATCTTTCCGTCACTCGCCTCCCTTTCCCCCTTCCGCGATGCTCCCTTCCGCCATCCCTTACCGTTCCGCCATGCCCCCCTCTTTCCTCCGACAGCCGCGACACCGCGCAAGGAGCGGGCGCGGCATGGCGCCACGGAGGATCTGATTCTGCGCAGCGTCGTGCGGCCGATGCAGGCCATCGCGGAGAACAGAAAGGTGAGCGCGCGCGGGAGGGGGTGGGGAGGGGGAGGGTGAAGGGGAGAGGGAGGGTGAAAGGCAAGGAGCGGGCGCGGCACGGCGCCACGGAGGATCTGATTCTGCGCAGCGTCGTGCGGCCGATGCAGGCCATCGCGGAGAACAGGAAGGTGAGCGCGCGTGTGAGTCGGGGAAAGGGTGGGTGGAGATGGGGGGGAGTGTGCGCGGGGGGGAAAGGAAAAGGGGAGAGGAAGGGGGGCGGGGTGGAGGGGGGAGGAAGGAAGAATCCGCTGATAGCAGAGAACAGGACGGTCTGTGCGGAAAAAAATATGGAGGGGGAAGAATGGTAAGAAGAAGCGACGGAGGTCTGGCGGCCATGGCGAGACAGCGATTAAGGCGAGTTCGAAACGCTTGAGCGTGGGGTAGTAGCTATGACCGCGTGAGGAATGCGTGACACTACCTAATGAATATTGGTGCTTGAATTCCCCACCCTTTTGCTTTCCTTGCTGCTGGAGCGAAAGTGCGTTCGTGGTTGTTGTTATTGCCGATTTATAATGATTTGATACGAAGCCCCATTGTCAGGAATCCCTAGGGGTTTTGCACATATGATGCAGATGATAAGCAGGATATAGGCCACGGAACGGAAGCTTTGGTACAGCTGAAAAGCGGTAAGGCAAAAACTGAGATCTAGTGATTTAGTGATTCATTGATGGAGGTGTCGCCCTCACGGAACTTGTACAATCCAACTGAGAAAAGGCGGGAAACGAAATCTCCAAGGCTCGTGACGCATCGTGCGTTAAGAGAGCGCGCTTTGACAAACTTCCAGGGGGCGGTGCGTGGTGGTACGCAGTGGTTTCTGAGTAAAAAAAAAAACGACCGATTTCAGAAACCCGATTGAGAATGATTGAGTGATCAGCTGACTGCAGAAATCTTTTGCGGATTCTGGAAAATAAAAAACAAAACACACGCATCAGTTCCAACAAAAAAAATTCGGTTACTAGAAAACTAACAAAGAGATCCAAGAGATCCAGTTCCCCACCTTCCCTCCCCCCTCCCCTCCTCCCCTCCTCCCCCCCTTCCTCCTTTCCTCCCTCTTTCCTCCCTCGTTTTCCTCTTCATTGACAGCAGGCGACCCTTGAGTCGACTCTAGCACCTTTCTCCGCCCTCCTCCCTCGTCCCTCCCCCTGCCACGCCCCCCACCAGGTGGCAGCAGAGGCGCACATGGAGCACAGTGAGAGCAGGCAACCCTTAAATAAGCTCAAACACACCCCCCTTTCCCCCCTTCCCCCCTTCTCTCCCCCACCCCCCCGCACCAGGTGGCAGCGGAGGCGCACAAGTAGCGCTGTGAGAGCAGGTGACACCTGAGGCGACTTAATCACACAACCTGCTTTCCCACACCGCCCCCTCCCCCTCCCCCCCATCGCCCCCGCACCAGGTGGCAGCAGAGGCGCACATGGAGCGCAGTGAGAGCAGGGAAGCGGGCCTCTGCGCGGCTGTGGTGCACCTGCAGGCGCAGCGCCTGTACATCAGCGTGAAGAGGTGAGGGGCGGAGGGTGAGGAGGTGAAGGGCACAGGGTTTTAGGTGTGGGAGATGGGTCTGTCCGCGGCTGTGGCGCACCTCCAGGCACAGCGGCTGTACATCGGCGTGAAGAGGTGAGAGGGGGATTTGAGGAGGTGAGGAGGTGAAGGGGGGATGTGAGGAGGTGAGGAGGTGAAGGGAGGATGTGAGGAGGTGAGGAGGTGAAGGGGGGATGTGAGGAGGTGAGGAGGTGAGGAGGTGAAGGGGGGATGTGAGGAGGTGAGGAGGTGAGGAGGTGAAGGGGGGATCTGAGGAGGTGAGGAGGTGAAGGGGGGATGTGAGGAGGTGAGGAGGTGAGGAGGTGAAGGGGGGATGTGAGGAGGTGAGGAGGTAAGGAGGTGAGGAGGTGAGGAGGTGAAGGGGGGATGTGAGGAGGTGAGGAGGCGAGGAGGTGAACGGGGGATGTGAGGAGGTGAGGAGGTGAGGAGGTGAAGGGGGGATGTGAGGAGGTGAGGAGGTAAGGAGGTGAGGAGGTGAGGAGGTGAGGAGCAACATGTTTTCAGGCTTGAGAGATGGATCTATGCCCCCCTTCTCTTTCCTTTCCTCCCCTCGTCTGGAATGATCGTTACATTGATAGTGGCAGGTCACCTCTTACACTTCATTCAAAGCAAGTGCAAATATGTAACCCTCTCACTCCCTCCCCCGGTTCCCACCTCTCTCGCACCCTCACCCTCTCCCCCTCCCTTCCCTTGCATTCTGGTTTCTACAATTCCCCTCCTTCTAGGAAGCTTCTATGGGGTGGGAATTCATCGGTGGTGCATTACTGCAAGGCCCATCTGCCTCAGGGATGCCTGCTCGTGCTCACACAGGGCAATGACCTGCTGCCTCCTCTCTCACAACACACCATCACCCACACCCCTTCCCTTTGCTATCGCTTTTCCACTCTTCCCCCACTCTCTTACACCCCCTCTCCTCCTCCTCTCTCCCACCTCCCTCCCTCCCTCTTTCTCTCTTCACCCTTCTCTCCCATTTTACTTCCAGGAAGCTTCTATGGGGCGGGGATTCATCGGTGGTGCATTATTGTGAGGCCCATCTGCCGCAGGGATGCCTGCTCGTGCTCACACAGGGCAGTAAACGAGTCAAGGAGCTTATAGCGGGTACAACAAGTCACCCCGCCAGCCAGGGTAGCACTGCTACTGCCAGAGGTGCCGGTGGCAGTGCTGCTGGTACTGCTGCTGCTGGCGGTGGTGGTGGTGGTGGTGGTGGTGGTGGTGGTGGTGGTGGTGGTGGTGGTGGTGGTGGTGGTGGTGGTGGTGGTGGTGGTGGTGGTGGTGGTGGTGGTGGTGGTGGTGGTGGTGGTGGTGGTGGTGGTGGTGGTGGTGGTGGTGGTGGTGGTGGTGGTGGTGGTGGTGGTGGTGGTGGGCGTAGGAGGTCTCAGGATTCGCCCCAACACGCACTGCAGCAGCAACAGCAGCAGCAGCAGCGGCAGCAGCAGCGGCAGAGCCAAAACTTTCACCAGCAGCAGCACCATGAGCAGCAGCAGCAGAACGGAAGTTATTACCAGGACTATGAGCAGCAGTTGCAAGACGAGCATTCAGCAGACGAGGAGGAGGAGGGTGCAGCGGAGCTGAAGCGAAGCATCAGTGCGGGGAACGAGCTGAGGAACCGAAGATATAGACCCGGCATGTATAGCAGCAGCAGCGGCATCAGTGGCGGTGGCAGTGGCGGGAGGAGCGCGGAGAGAAGCCCAGCAGGAGGAGGAAATAGAGGAGGAGGAGGGGGAATAGGAGGGGGAGGAGGTGGGGGTGGTGGGGTGGTGGGTCTTGTGCGGGCGGGTAGCTATGGGCGGCATATAAGGAGTAGGAGCATAGGAGGCATGTTTCCGATCAGCGGCAGCACAGGCAGCCCAGGGAACAGCAGCAGCGGCGGTGCTGGGGGCGGTGCTGGTGGTGCTGGTGTGAGTGGCAGCGGTGGTGGTAGCAGCAGTGGTGGTGGTGGTAGTGGGGGTATGAGGCGTGTCTTTCAAAGGAGAACACGCAAGCAGAGCAGCAGCTTTTCCGAGTCTGAAGATGAAACCCCACTCGTCCGAACCAGCACGGGAGGCTCGGAGACGCACCGCACACCCTACCATCTCAACATCCTAGGTCCGGCAAAGTGGGCAGCTTCGGTCTCAGGCTCAGCAACCGGACCAGGCGAAGATCCGGACGACCCGAACCACGCCAGAGGCGCCAAGCCTCCTCCCAGACCTCCCCGAGGCTCGGGACGAGGTTCGGAAATGGAGGACGGGGAGTATGACGGGGAGGATGGGGACCAGACCCCTCCCAGGCCTGTCTTGCGCTCCCGAACCTCCCCTTCCGGACGGTCCTGGGGAGCAGGCGAGATGGATGGAGCGACAGCAGCAGCAACAGGTGCAGCGGCAGCAGGCAGACACCCCAACTTTGGTGGTAGTGGTGGCAACTACAGCAGCGGCATGCCTTCACCCTCAGCTGTCTCGTCTGGGCGGGTTATGTCTCGCACGCTCAGCCGGGAACGCAGGCTGCACCAGGCAGCAGCGGGAGTAGCAGGAGGAGCAGCAGCAGGAGAAGGAGGATCAGGAGGAGGAGCAGGGCTGGGATCGTTTAGCAGTGCTGCTGCTGCCATCTCCACCACGTCTGCTACCACTCTCCCTCCCGCCTCCCTCCCCTTCCACTTCTCTCCCAAGCTTCTCATCCCCTCGCCCTTCACCTCCGCTTCTGGTGTGCTTATCGCGGAGGGTGATAATAACAATGGTGACTATAACGAAGAGCCCAGGCCTGGGACGCCCAGGGGGGAGACGGAAAAAGAGGCTCGGTTGCTCGGGGCGTCTAGGTTCGGCCCGAGCCAGGGGATGGAGGCTCGGCAGGGGGAGAGGGGCCGGCACAGCAGGGGAATGTCTTGGGCTGGTCCCGAGTTAATGGGGGGAGGGGGAGGGAGTGGAGGGTTCCGATTGTCACCTGGTGGGGGGGATGGTGGGGGTGACAGTGGGGGTGCATGTGATGGTGCGGGTGGGGTTGACGGGGGGGGCTATAATGGTGGGCAGTGGCGTTACACTTCTCATGTCGCTTCCCCTACTGCTGCTGGCCTCCCTCCCCTCCCCTCGCCCTCCTCCGCCTCTGCCTTCCCCTCCTCCCTCCCCTCCTCCTCCACCCGCCCTAACATAGAAGAACAGGTAGTGGCACTGGCAGGGCAATGGGAGGTCCTGGCACAGATGGGGGGGGCGAGGCAAGGGGGAGAAGGAGCAGGGGGAGCAGCAGGCGGAGCAGCTGGGGGAGCAGGAGCTTCTGGGGGAGGTGGGACTGTTAGACCGGCTCAGGCGACTGATATGTCCTCCCGCCCCCGCCGCACTGTGCCGAAACATTTCCGGGCAGGTAGCTGGGATCCGGGCAGGTCAGGCCTGAGTGAGGACTCGTTTTTGGAGAGTGTGAGAGGAGGAGGTGCGGCAGGGGCAGGGAAAGGGGCAGGCGGAAAAGGGGGAGGGGGAGGGGGAGGAGGTAGCAAGACTCCCCCTTTGCCCCCAGAAGGGGCAGCAGGCGGAGGGAAAGGTGGAGGAAGCTTCCGAAAGGGAATGCTGCGAAGGAAGGGGAGCGGGCAGTGGGGGGAGGGGCTTGGCGGGTGGATCGGGGGAGGGGGAGGTGGGGTGGGAGCGGGGGCAGGGAGAAGAGTCGGGGCGGACAGGGTTGATGGGGATGGGGTGAGAGATTATGAGGAAGAGGAAAGCAGCATGGAGGGAGGAGCGCCCTTGCGCCGTGCTCTCTCCTCCACCGCCCCTGGCCTCTCCTCCTCAATGGATGCCCACGCAGGGTTCGCTTCAGGGTTGCTCGCAGCCTTCCCCGCCACTGGCTCGCCGGACCTGCCAGGCTCGGCGCCCGGACGTCGCGGTGCTGGTGAGGCTCGGCACAGGCTGCCCAAGATGCCGTCCAGTAATGGCAGGCTCGGCGAGGAGGCCCGGCCGGGGCTGCTGGAGGTTGGGCGGGGAGGCGGGGGGTTGGTTCGGGATTGGATCATGGGGCAGGGTGCAGCAGCAGGGCAGGGAGGGGAGGGGGAGGCAGGGAGAGAGAGGGAGGAAACATCTGGAAGAGGGGGAGGAGGGGGAGGAGGGGGAGGAGGGGGAGGAGGGGGAGGAGGGGGAGGAGGGGAAGCGGAAGAGGGGAGTGTGAGTGGGAGCAGCAGCAGGAGTGGGTTGGATATGGATATGCTGATGGGGGAGTTGCAGCAGCTGAGACAAGAGGCCCTTGCGAAGCAAGTAGCGGCCCAAGCTCAGTTCTGCAAGGTGCTGTGCTGCGCTCTCCCTCGCCATGCCATGCTGTATCGTCTCAAGTCAAGTGTGGCTTTCCAATTTTTCTTCTTGTCATCTCTACTCCTTTTTTAGCTTGTTCCCCTCACATTTGTGCCTCTACCTACTCCTCCTCGCTCGCCCTCCTATTCTCCTTGCCCCCTCCACAAGTCTTCAAATGAACTCGCCTTCAGATGTGATGAGGCGATTTTTGAGTCGACTTCACGCACGCAGCTCACTGAGCTATGTCTGGATCTCAAATGAACTCGCCTTCACATCTGAAACTTGAACCCTGTGGAGAGATGTGCCTCCACAAGTTTCAAGTGAACTCACTGGGGGCACGTCCCAGTTGAGAGATTTTGAGAATTCTCAAAAACTCCCTGAGATGTGAACTCAAGTTTCACAAGGTCGTTCTCCTGTTCTCTCAGCCTATGTTTTTTGAGAAATCTAAAAAAAACATACGCTGTTTCACAAGATCTTGTGTGAAGAGGCGATTTTTGAGTCGACTCAAAGATCTTGCTCCACATCTCTTGTCTCGTTCTCCTGTTCTCCACAAACCCTTCCCCTCCCCCCCCCCCCCCCCCCCCCCCCCCCCCCCCTCCCCCCCTCTCTTTCTCCTCCCCGCAACCCCACATTCCGACCCCAACAATCTCTATCGTTGAAGCGCCCCAAGTTTTTTTTCTCGCTTTTCTCCAAATCCGCCGTTCTACCAGGGCGAAGATGCCAGCAACCCGCACTCCTCCAGCAGCTCCGACCTCTATCCCCGCAGCAGCAGCGCCAACGCTCGTCCCACTTCCAACCCCAGCCAGAGCAACAGCAAGAGCAGCAGCCGCACCTACAGCCGCAACGTCCCAGCTTCGGCCAGCGGCGGCAGCGGCAGCGGCATCGGCGGCGGCAGTGGTGGCGGCAGCGGCGGTGGCAGCGGTGGCGGCAGCGGTGGTGGCAGCAGTGGTGGCAGTGGTGGTGGCAGTGGTGATCCAGGCAGCAGCATGCTTCGAAGTGCACTGGCAGCTGAGGGCGACCTGACCGATTTCACTGACTTCACTCATGTGCCGGGTCTGCCTGGCGTCTCAGGCCGTGCTGGTGGCATGGGCATGGGGTGTGCTGCTGCTGCTGTGGTCAGATCTAGACGAGGGAGTGGGGGAGCCGGGTATGATGCAGAGGTCTGGGAGGATGGGGAGGAAGATGAAGAGGAGGGGGAGGAGGGGGACGATGGAGAAAAGGGCAGGAGTGGGCAGGCTGCTGGGCCTACCGCTTCTGTGGGCAACCATGTAAGAGAAACTCAAATTCCAGCCCTTTTGGAGACTTAACTATGTATCTTTTGAGGCGCCTCAAAAGTCATTCCAGCCCTTTTGGAGACTTAACTATGTATCCCGGACCCCACTCCCGGACCCTTTTTGGACCCCGGGAAGGGAAGCCGCTCTTCCACCTCCTCCTCTGACCCCACCGAGTTTGTTCGCAAGGTCACTGAGCGCGCCCGCCCCGTTTCCTCCCCTCCCCTCTTCCCACTCCCTCTTCTCCTCTCCAGCCCCTCTCTGATGCAGGTCTCGGTGGTGATGGTGCTGATGGTGATGACGTGGGAAGCTGCTCCTCCACCTCCTCCACCTCCTCCTTTGACTCCTCCGAGTTCGTCCCTTCCCCCTTAACCCCCCATCCCTCAATACACTCCAGCCCATAGCAGGAAGCATGGGAGACAGCAATGCAGACCCCAACGGCAACAATGGTGGAGAGGTGAGGACGCGGGAAGCTGCTCCTCCACCTCCACCTCCTCCACCACTGAGTTCGTTTGCAAGGTCACAAAGCGCGCCCGCCTTAATGGCTTCCTCCTTCCATTCCCCATCCAACCCCACCTCCCCTTCCCTCCCCTCCCCTCCCCTCCCCTCCTTTCTTCACTGCAGCCCGCTGCGGACGATGACACGGGAAGCTGCTCCTCCACCTCTTCATTCGACTCCACTGAGTTTGTTCGCAAGGTCACGGAGCGCGCCCGCCTTGCTGCCTCTGCCTCTGCCAACGCTGCCTCTGCTGCTGCCGCTGGTGCTTGCAGCACAGTAGACGGGGTGAGTAGGGGATTTAAGAGTGAGGTTGTGGGCATGGGCTGGGGTCATGGGCATGGGCATGGGCATGGGCATGGGCATGGGCATGGGCATGGGCATGGGAATGACCATTTACAAACGTTTCTGCCACCATGTTTTGTAGGATCATCGTTGTTTCAAATCTCAAACGCCTGAATTCCTACAAGATTTCAAACCACCTGATAGCAATCAACGTTTTCTATCGCCCTCTTTCATGTTTCCTTTTTCCCCATCCTATCCCTTCTTTCCCCTCCTACCTCATCCAACCCCTACCCTCCCTCCCCACATCACCCCTCCAGCACCACACCCCCACAGATCTCTCCCCTAACATCACCTCCTCCTCCTCCCTCCACCCCCCTCCCAGCCACCACTCCTCCTCCCTCCACGCCCCCTCTCTCTCCGACTATCTCGACCCCTCCTCCCACGCCTCTTCCTCCGCAGACTTCCGCCGCTTCTCCCTCAAAACTAGATTACTATCACGCGGATTTTAACATGTCTCAAAACGCCTCCTCCCACGCCTCCTCTTCCGCAGACTGCCGCCACTTCTCCCTCCCCCAGCTCCTCGAATCAACCAATGGCTTTTCTATCATTTTCTAACGTTATCTATCTTCCTTTTGAGGCGCCTCAAAACGTTATCTATCTTCCTCTTTTTTTTAGACGTCTCAAAACTTTATCTATCTTCCTCTTTCCTGTTTCTTGTTTCTTACTCCCATCCCTTCCTTCTTTTCCTGCCTCCCTCCTCCCATCACCCCTCCAGCACCACACACCCACAGACCTCTCCCCCAACATCACCTCCTCCTCCTCCCTCCACCTGCCTCCCAGCCACCACTCCTCCTCCCTCCACGCCCCTTCTCTCTCCGACTCTCTCGACCCCTCCTCCCACGCCTCCTCCTCCGCAGATTGCCGCCGCTTCTCCCTCCCCCAACTTCTCGAATGCACCGACGGCTTTTCCGACGGGAACCTTCTGGGAAGGGGCGCGTACGGGCCGGTATACCGAGGCCAGCTGTTCGGGTGCCTCGTAGCGATCAAGAAACTGGAACAAGGCAGCGACCAAGGTCCGGCGGAATTCCGAACCGAAGTGGAGGTTCTGAGCAAGGTTCGGCACCCACACATTGTGCTCTTAATGGGTCACTGCCCGGAAGAAGCTTGTATCGTGTACGAATTCCTCCAGGGAGGGAATCTCAGCGGATCGTCCGGGCGGGAGACAACCCTCCGCCGCCCCTACCCTGGCACGATCGAATCAGAATCATATCGGAGATCTCCGGCGCACTCCTCTACATGCACCGGCACGACCCGCCGATCCTCCACCGGGACTTAAAGCCCGACAACATTCTCCTAGACGCCAACTCCATCTCGAAAATCGCGGACGTGGGTCTCGCCCGGCTAATCCCCAACGAGGTCTCGGCAGTTACCTGGAAGGTGCGCGGCACCGCAGGGTACATAGACCCCGAGGAGCTTCAAACGGGGGAGCTGTCGGTGAAATCGGATATCTACGCGTTTGGGCTGATAGCGCTGCAGCTGCTGACAGGGCTCAAGAATGTGAAGCTGGTACATGCGCTGCTCGCGGCGTGCGGCACGGGCGCGAGAAACACAGAGCAGGCGACAGATCTCATTGTGAGGAGCCTGGATCGTTCGGCTGGGAAGTGGCCGGAGAGGCTAGTGAGGCGGGCGACGAGGGTGCTGGTGAGGTGTATTGAGAGAAGGAGAGTGAATAGGCCGGATCTGGGAGGGGAGATTCACCCGCTGCTGGGGGAGATTGCAGAGGAGGCTATGGAGGAGAAGAACAGGCGGGCTAAGGAGCTTGATGGGCGGTTCGTGTGCCCGCTGTCACATGTAAGTGTTTGCGCTCCTGCTAGCTCCCTCTTTCACCCTCTACCACATGCACATCCGCACCCTCTGGCTCATTCACCCGCTGCTGGGGACGATTGCAGAGGAGGCTATGGAGGAGAAGAACATGCGGGCGAAGGAGCTTGATGGGCGGTTTGTGTGGCCGCTGTCACATGTAAGTGTTTGTTTTCTTGCTAGCTCCCTCTTTCACGCTCTCTCACATGCACAGACGCACCCTCTGTCTCACCCGCTGCTGGGGGAGATTGCAGAGGAGGCGATGGAGGAGAAGAACAGGCGGGCCAAGGAGCTCGACGAGTGGTTCGTGTGCCCTCTGTCGCACGTAGGTTTTTGCTTTCTCGCTCTCTCCCTCTTTCACGCTCTCTCCCTCTTGCACGCTCTCTTCACCCACGTAGTCGCTCTCTATCTCGAACACACAGCAGCTTGTGGCTATGCCTCCATGTGCTCCTGGCCTCTCACCTGGCAGCTCCTGGCACCACATGTGACGCTAATTGCTTTCTGCTTTCTTTTTTCTGTGATTATCACAGGAGAGGATGAGGGAGTCGGTGGTAGCAGCGGAGCGGACGGGCACACTTACGAGTGGGAGGGAGCACATCGAGACTTGGCGCACCAGCAGTGGGGTCTCGCCTATCACCAGCGCATGTGAAAAGGGCCTTTCTTGCCCTCCTACCCTCACAGGAGCACATGCGGGATCCGGTAGTGGCAGCAGACGGGCACACATACGAAAGAGAGCACATCGAGACATGGCTCACCAGCAGTGGGGTGTCTCCTGTCACCGGACAGCCCCTGGCATCACGAGTGAATATCCTGTTTTTCTTCCTTCCTGTCGTGACTATTGCAGGAGAGAATGAGAGACCCGGTGGTGGCAGCGGACGGGCACACGTACGAGCGCGAGTACATCGAGACTTGGCTCGCCAGCAGCGGGGTCTCGCCTGTCACTGGACAGCCCCTGCCCCACCGCGCCCTCACTCCCAACTTCATCCTCGCATCGCTCATGGACTCAATGTGATGCCATGGCACGTCATGCAATGCCATGGTATGGTGTCATGTGTTGTCATGTGGTGTGATGTGGTGTGATTGGGTGTCATGTGGTGCGATGCTGCACCATGTTGGGCTGAGTGCCCCTTAGGATCTTTGGTAGGGTTAAACTCTGGGTAGAGTGATGTAGTAGCGGAAGCGTTTAAATGAAGTCCTTGAACCACCTTGCGCTGGTATGTGAGGGCAAAGTAAGTTGATTAAAACAAGCAAGTACAAAGGTTTATATAAGAGTACAAAGAATACGAAGAGATATAATTAAACTGTTTTACTGTTGCGGTTCGATACAGTGCGACTCGGGCAACTGCTCAATGTCGAGTCAGTTGTGTGTCCTTGCTGTCGCGCTGCATTTGTCAAGTCAAAGGTCGCTGACCTTTGACTTTCGCGTAACCTCCAGCGGTTACTTCAACCTCCGAGGGTTGACTCGCTGGTGCCTCGATATGCTCTGCTTCGCTTGTGCCTTGGTGTTTCGACACGACAGAGGCGCTTAAGATTGTTTGTTCCCAACACTCCCCTTCGCTTCTGGAGTGTCGCTGCTGGTGACGTGGCTTTGTCCAGTCAGCAGCATGCAGTACTCGAACTTCTGTTTTCCGAGCTTCTTGGTCAAGTAGTCAGCTGCCATCTCGGACGTGGGACAGTAGGATAGTTCAAGTCTCCCCTTCTCAATCTCGTCTTTCACGAAGAAATATCGCAGAGCGATATGCTTCGTTCTGTTCGCGAATCCATTTTTGTTGGCGATGCGAATTGCAGATTGGTTGTCGCAGAACAGAGTGAAGTTGGGTAACTCGGCTAACTTCGCTTCTTCCAGCAGCTCGCGAAGATAGAGTCCTTCCTTGGTGGCTGAGCAGAGTGCAATATATTCTGCTTCAGCTGACGAGAGAGCAATTAATTCCTGCTTGCTCGATTGCCAGGAGATCGGTCCGATAGGTTCGAGGCGGTAGATGTAGCCGGTGCGGGAGCGCCTGTTGTCGGAGTCGCCAGCGTGATCAGCGTCGACGTAGCCGATTAATTTAGTCGGTGTAGTTGTGTTCTTGTAGTAAGTTAGGCCGATCGTTGAGGTACTGACGAAGTAGTGGAGAGCGCGGTCGAGCTCCGCCAGGTGTTCTGCTTCAGGCTTCTTGAGGTAGGTGGCGAGCTGGCTTGCGGAGTATGAGAGGTCGGGGCGGCAGGTGACAGCTGCGAAGAGAAGGCATCCTAGCTTTCTCTGGTAGTCGCGTATCCCGGCGGATTTGAGTAGAGAGGATCCTTCCTTGTGGTTTCCTGTCGCGTAGCGGTAGGGCATAGAGATGGTGGTAGGTGTGAGCGCGAAGCGTTTGGCGATGGTGTCGGCGTACTTAGCGGCGTTGAGGTAGATCGCGCCTTCTTCTTCCCGAATGTTCAAGCCGAGGTACTGTGTGACGGTAGAGGAGACCGTGAGTGTGAGGTCCCTCTGTAGCTCCCCTTCGAACCAGGTGGTGATGTCGTCAGTGGAGCCGATGTAGAGTAGGTCGTCTACGTAGACGATCAGCAGAATGTAGTCGGTGTCTTGAGTGAGTCGGTACATTCCTTGGTCGTGAGGTAGTTGGCGGAATCCGATGCGAATGAGGCGAGCGTGTAGGTACTGTTGCCATAGCCGCGGAGCTTGCTTGATCCCGTAAAGTGATTTCAGCAGTTGACAGACTTGGTTAGGTTCCCCGTTGGTACCGTGTGGGAGCTCGACGAAGATTTCCACGTCGACAGGTGCGTAGAGGAACGCGTTGGCGACATCGATTTGCCGTAGCTTCCTTTTCTTCATGGCGGCGATCGCGAGGAGGATTCGAAGTGAGGTATGTCGGCTAACCGGGGCGAATGTCTCGGTGAAGTTCCGTCCGTGCTCCTGATCGAATCCACGCACAACCCAGCGTGCTTTGAACTTCTCAATTGTGCCGTCTGCTTTTGTTTTAACGCGGAAGACCCATTTCCCGGTGAGAATGGTCTTGTTCCTTGCCACGCTGATGGGGACAACTTTCCAGGTGTTCCGTTCCTCCAGCGCCTTTAACTCTCTGTCCATGGCTTCACGCCATTTTTCCCTGTGTTCCCCCCCCAGAGCCTGCTGAACCGTCGCAGGCTCCTTAGGAAGAGTGTTGCCGTGGACTGCGGTGACGAGTCCGAGAATCTGCAGTCCAGTCTGTGAGTAGCGGGGAAGAGTTGCATCCTCGGGATAAGCTGCTTCATCTCCCGCTTCTGGATCAGGTATGAAATTCGGTCCTACTCGTTCTGCTTCGTTGGTGTTGACTGTCACAGGTGTTACGTAACCGTTGTTGGCGAAGTAGTAGAAGGTTTCGGCGTTGACACTTTCGCGAGGGTTATCTTCGTCCATGGGGACGTCGACGGAGCAGAACGGAAGGGGTCCAGCTTCTTCTGATGCGTTGGCCACATTCTGCTCGTCCCAGTCAGCTTCGTCTGCTGCCGAGGCGAAGGCTCGGTCACCACGAAAACCACCTGTGGGATCTTGGTCCTCTTGCAGGTTGGCAAGGTATGTCTGGAGCGTGAGTCGTTCGTAGAAAATGACGTCGCGTGCTGCTACTGTTTCCTTGGAGTGGACGTCAAAGATTTTCCACGCGTTGTAGTTCTTTTCGATGCCGAGGTGTAGTCCCCACTGTGCGCGTTGTGAAAATCGGCCCGCTCGTGCTGCTGGGGGTCGGTACTGTACCATGCATCCGAACACTCGTAACATTTTTGTGCTGCCCTGTTTTCCTGTCCACAGCAGATGCGGTGATGCGTTGTTCGGTAGTGATGAAGATGAGAGCAAGTTGTGCAGCATGACAGCGTGGTCCATCGCGTCAGGCCACTGGTGGTTGGGTAGCCGCATGCCACGCAACAGTTTGCGCATGCTGTTCTGCAGAGTCCTGTTCATTCTTTCTGCTACACCTTGCTGCTGATGGGCGTAGGGAAGAGAGAGGAGCTGCTTGATTCCCCTTTCCGCCAGGTACTGCTTGAATCGCTGAGAGGTGTATTCTCCTCCTCCGTCAGACTGGAAGCTTTTCAGCTTTACGCCCGACTCTCTTTCTGCTACTGGTAGCCAAGCAGCGAATGCTTCGAGGACCATGTCGCGGCTGGGTAGGTTTAGATGCCAGACGTAACGGGTGGCGGCGTCGATGAAGGTGATTGTGTAGTTGTATATTACTTGTCCTGGTTCCCGATTGTACAGGATGTCGCTATACACCTTTTCGAGTGGTGCGTACGCGGGTGTGCTCGGGTTGTGATGAGGAGTGAACGGCCGATGTGGTAAGTCGGCTTCGGGGCAGGTAAGACATGTTCCTCGTGCCCGTTGAAGTTCTCTGCCGTCGAGTAGTAGTAACGAGTCCTTGTCAAGGACTCCTGCTCTTATTGTGTTGTTTAACACAGTGTTGCTTGGGTGTCCCATGCGTGCGTGCCAGATGTCTTCGGAGGCGCGGTGTCCGGGTGAGCGTCGATACGCGTCAGAGTTGGAGTAGAAGCTGGCGGTGAAGTTTGCGCTTCTATGGACTTCCCGTTGAGCCGGATTCAGCTGCTGTGCGGGTGTTGGTGGTGCTTCGTCAACGAGGAGTGGTGTCGTTGTTGCTGCTACTGTTGTTGTTCCTGCTACTGCCGATGATGTCTCTGCTGCTGCCGATGATGTCTCTGCTGCTGCCGATGTTGTCTCTGCTGCTGCCGATGTTGTCTCTGCTGCTGCCGATGTTGTCTCTGCTGCTGCCGATGTTGTCTCTGCTGCTGCCGATGTTGTCTCTGTTGCTGCCGATGTTGTCTCTGCTGCTGCCGAATGTTGTATTGTTACTAACGCACGTGTTCGTTCTGCTTCAGGAATGGTATGTGAATACCAAAAGCCTTCCGGACTGAAGTCGGTGTCAGAACTAGCAGTAGAAAGTAAGAATGAAGAAAGGAGGGGTTTCACTAGCAAGCAGTTGAGTACATATAGGAAACCCTAGATTGGGCTGTACTCGCTATAGAGCACCCCACTGCAGGCTAGACAAATACAACATTCTGACACACCCCCATAGTCAAAGTGGGGTGTAATCAGCACAATGAGCAGGTATAGCAGGAGTTCACAATAAGAAGCAAAGCTAGAGGTAATCACAGCGGACAAGTGAGGAGGAGGAGGGACTGTGAGAGGAGAGAAGATGAGAGACGGCGGCTGAAGCTGCAGACACACGGGCAACAGGAGCTGCTGGCACAGTGGCTACCGGGACAGTGCGCCCCGGACTACTGGAGTAACTGGCTCACGGGCTACGACGAGCTACAGGAGCAACGGACCCTCGGGCGACAGGCGCAGCAGACTCTCTGGGCTACCAGGACAGTGCGCCCCGGACTACAGGTGCTGCGGACGACAAGACAGCAGCCTCCGCTCAACCTCCTCCAACTGTCCCACACACCCCCCACACACCCACTGCTTCACTCCTAACTCCATTTGCACGTCACCCCCCTAGTACCACTCCTTCGGCTCCCACACACCCACCCCCCTCAGCGGCAGCTGCAGCACTGGGAGACGGAGGAGGAGGATGAGGAGCAGGGGACGACGCACAGAAACTGCACCCCCATACCCCCCACCCCCAAACCCTAATTCAGGAGAACGGGCAGCAGCAGGGGTGGGGCGCCGTCAGACGCACGGGGGACAGCGGGCAGCGCAGGGGCAGAGAAAACAGGGCGCCCACGGGCCTGGCGCAGCCCGTACGAACCGCGTGCGGGCGGCCCGAGGCGCGCCCTGGCCTGGCGCAGTCCGTACGGGCCGCGCGCGGGCCTAGCGCTGCCCGTACGGGCCGCGCGCGGGCCTGGCGCAGCCCGTACGGGCCGCGCGCGGGCCTGGCGCAGCCCGTACGGGCCGCGCGCAGGCTGTACGGGCCGCGTGCGGGCCCTACGCAGGTCGCGCAGGCCGCGACGGGCGACGGGGGGCGACGCGCGGGTCCCCGTCGCCCGTCGCAGCGCCTCCCGGGAGCGACGCGCGGAGTGACGAGGCAGAAAGCCGCCGCGCGCCTCGGG